AAGACAAAGATTAGAGTCTTATTGCTATTGCTTTTATAAAAGCAGATGTTTGCAAAAAATTAAGGGTCTAAATGGCTAAATAGTATCTTCTTTTCTTTCCTACCAAGTTATAGGCCAGTTTAAAAAAAATAGATAATAGTCAAGTGAGGTCTCATAAGAGGAATAAGTTATTTTTTAATTGAACTAGTATGGAGTAGCAGATTTGATATTTAAACTTTTGCATACTCCTGAGAAAATACAATTAGGGCTTAAAGAATTGTATTATGTTGCTACTAACAGGCATGGTTTGGTGAGTGGAGGCAGCCATGAGCAAATGGGACAAATAGCTATTTGGGTATATGTCGAAGCATCACCTAAATTACTTTAACAGCCTAACTGCTTCAATGTGTCAGAAAGGGGAAACCATGCTGGCCACAGAGCCACTGGATGTGGGCACAAGGCTCAGATCCCAGGACTGATGGGCAGACCAGGGAGCGAGAGAGCAGAGACGAGTGCTGGACCTGACCCAACGCAAGGCAGCCTCATCCAGAAGGTGCCTCTGAAAGACTAAGGATGGAAAGAACACTCTTGAAGCCACTCTTCTTTCTCAACAAACTGATGACCAACGACAGTAAAATTATAAAAAAAGAGGTCATAGCAGGGGCAGCTGAACCAAAGCAAAGCCAGTGAGTGGCTGAACACTTCAGCATTTCTGAAATGACCTTTGGGGTATGTCCTACTAGCTATTTCAAGTTGGAAGACGGTGCTGATGGCAGAGTGCCATGTTTGTGAAAAGTATTTGTAGAGCAAAAGTAAAATGATGTGTTTGTTGGAGAGAGAAAGAGTTTAAAGTTGGCTACTTCAATGATGGACAACCATGGCTTTATCTTTGATTTTTATTATAAGAAACAAGGAAAAGGCACAGGAAAACTTGGGTTTCCTAGGCAGCAAAATATTGGGCCTACTCTTGGCTCTACCACTAGAAACTTGCTATGTGTCACTTTGGGCCAGTCGGCACCTCCCTAAATCTCAGCTCTCTCCTCTTCCCTAATGTACAGTGGGAGGATCAAGATAGCCATGTAACATAGCTATTAAGTCAGTAGCTTAAGAGTTTGCCCTGAGGCCCATCAAAAGACCTCCTTCATTCAGATTTCCTATTAAATGTTCCTCCCTCAATTTTCTTGAATACGCTACATAAAATAGACACTCCCAATCAACTCTTTCACCAGCTCTCTATACTACTTTATTTTTCTTTACAGCCTTTACCCTCTCATGAAGTTATCCACTATGCCCATTAGAGAAAGCTCTGTACAAACTCAACATTATGCCTAGACCAATGGTTGGTACATAGACATGAATGAATTAAAAGTAGTTGTCATAAGACCTTGTAGAATAATGAGTCCCATACAGACAGGACAGGAAATTTCAGGTTGAGGTTACGCTGGCCAATCCTGTGAGTGTGGATGACAGCCACCTCCAAATGTCAACATTTCCCCTATTCATGAGCCATCTTCCAGTTTGAACCTCCACAACTACTATTGTTTTCTTCTACTATTCATTTAAATGGGTAATAGGAGCATGTTTATGCTTTTCTATTAATATCTTGCCTAATATACAACATGGTTCAGACTTGAAGTTCCTTTCATTTAGAGATGCAGGTTACATATTAACAGAATAAATCAGTCCCAACAGGGTGACTTCTACTGAGCAGTGTGCTCAGGCTGGAAAGGAGGGAAGATGGTTTCACCTGTACCGGGTACAGCTTTCATTTTAAAGTAGTCCATTCTTTTTTCTCCTTGTTTCCCATATTCATTGCTCAATTTTTTTCCTTACTTATTCTTTCTTTTTTTTCTCATAGTCTTTTAAACTCTTCTCTTTTTCCTCATTATCTATCCTCTTACTATCTGGGTAGCTAAATGCAGGTCAAATGTGGATTTAAAAAGAGTCTGGCACAGTCTTTGTGGGCTAACTACCTGTGGGAAGGAAAGAGAAGATAGAAGGAGAGTGAAAGCTGCCAGATATGAAAGGCTTGGCAAATGCCCCGTGCAGCTACTGAAAAAGTGTTCTGTTCTTTGGTTGTAAAACAATGCTCTTGGGCTTACCAGCCTCTTCCTCACCCTTCACACGACAACCACAGAAACTGCCTGTATCTTCTGACAAGCTTAGAATCGTAGGATTTTAGAGCTGGGCTGGATCTTAATGCTCGCCCACCCTAATACCCTCCAATTTACAAATGAGGAAATAGAGGCCAAAGAGGTTAAGTGACTTGCCAAGGGTCACAGAATGAATGACTTGACAGGGTACAGAGATTCAGATCTGACTGCCAGAACAGAACCCTGAAGAATGTGTGTCAGAAAAGCCCAAGAAATTCTACAAGTAATTGTCATTAGAAATGAAAGAAAGGATAACCAACCTAAAAGAAAAACTGGGAAAGGAACACCAAGTAATTCGAGTGTAAATCAATCCTTGACTTAGAATATTTTCAAACCATCTTTTCTTTTTCTTTTTTTTTTTTTTAAGGAAATAATCATGTGTTGTTTAAGGGGAAAATAGGCTGAAGCATTACAGGGTTGTTGGTTTTTCCCCCCCAAATCTTGCATCCATTTATTTTCTTATTTTTGATAGTTTTTCACATAATACATGCTTAGTGACTCTTCCATTGCGCTGACCTCTACTTCTGCCTTCCAGTAATGGAAAGCAGCTGATGTTAATGCACTGGTGCGTTAGTGTGAAGGAGGTTAAGGCAGTGTTTGTGTGCAATCAGGTTAAGATTGGCTCCAACAGGAGAAAAATCCATACATATGTTGAAAAGATCTGAAAAATGCCTGTATTCCCAACCTGATTACGACTTACATTTTTGCATGGTTTGTCAAAGCAGATCACTAAAATCAAATCAAGATGTAAAATGGGATGAAGTGGTTTTCTTCTCCATTCTTCCATTAATCACCGTGACCTACTGCAGAAAGGAACGTTTTGCTCCCCCACCTGAGGCAAGGTGGGATACTGCGCTAGAAGTTATGCCAATTTTTATCAGTTGGTACTCAAGTTCCTAAATTAATTTTCTACATTTTCATTTGTTACATTTTGGAATAGAAGTTATTTTGTTGCAGAGTAATTTTCCATCAACAATTCTATTGTAGTTCCCTTTTTATAAAACATAAAACAAATTTTCATGTAACAGTTTTGACTTGCTAACTTTAATGGTTATATAAAAATTGAATTTATGAAACTGAAAACTGTAGATTTGGGGAATTAGAACAATAGTCAGTTTCTCCTAATAAATAATACTCGGTAAATACAAATTACCAGTAAATCAGAGTCCCTTACTGGTTATTAAAAAGAGAACTTAAGCAGATGATACATAAGCATTTATTCTGGCAGAACTTAATTTGCCGGCAGTATCAGGTTGTGCTCTCTAAGACAGTATACTGCTGTTAGTAGCACAAAAAATATGAGCGCAATAAACAGGTTAACAATCTAGCTGTTATCTACAAAATTCTCGAGCAAGACTGGGGCTAGGTCAAAATAGTTTGGGACGGGAGGGGAATATTCTGGCTCTTGTTACACATAAGCATGTTTGTTATAGGAGCATTTTCAGGTTAATTTTTGCTATTAACGTAAACCACAATTGGGGGACCGCATTGCTGGAAGAGAAATGGGGGGAGGGTAGTTATATAAACAATATACAACAAAGGAAGTCTTTATTTCCAATACCTGAATACATCAGGTTTGTTTTTAGGCACAAGGTTGCAGGTTAAATGCTCTCAGCTATCCAAGAAGTAGCTTATTAGTTTTGTAAGAAAATATTTTCTTATATTTTGACTGAAAAATACCCAGTTTAAGTGAACAAAACCATCCTTGTTAGTGGAAAGCAAGCCCAAAAAAACTTTGTTTCAAAGACTCAGCAAAGCAAAGCAAAACTAATTCAAGAGGAAAAGCTGCCTTCCTAATAGTAGCTTCTGAATCTGGATCTAATAGTTCTCAAAGGCCGACTGGAGTCTTCAAGTCTTAAAAGTTTGTCTTCCTCCACGGATCATAGACATTCTCTATGAGGCAGCATAATATGGATATAAATCCATTTTAAGCAGATATAGATTCTCTCTCTCTGGCCTATAACCACAAAGCTGAAAAACTATGCACCAACAGCAAAAATAAAAGCAAACAAAAGTTTTGATTATTTTATTGGGCAATTTTCCAACTGCAACGTTCTTTTTGCTTTTCTATGTTGTGGACTAGAAAAGCCCCAGCTTCATCCCTGGCAATGTAGCATCCACTGGTGATAAAATAAACGGTAACAAGCGATTATGCTTTAAGAACCCCGGTGACGGCACTGAGAACTACATTTCAAACAGACTGACTCAGCTTCAGCCAGCACCTGAGCCGTGTATGCTTCTCCTAATTTGTAAATGAGCCTAATCCTGTTATTACAGAATAATTACTGCAAATCAGCACAATTACTACAAAGACATGAATAAACACACACATACCAGTAGCTGTTTTCTACAAATTATTATCAAAACAAAGAGAACCGGCTAATTGTGGTAACATTAAGACAACGTTTATTCCTCCCAGTGTTTGGGCAAGTTTATTTTAAGTTGTCATCTTCAACTAGTAATGATGCAGATGATTTTACAGATTCCATAAACCTTTCTAATCTAAACTCTTCTCAACTGAAAGTTGGCCGCTTCCCTCAGAGCAACATCTGCAAAAGCCTGATTTCCTAAGACCTACTTTTATGGTATGTTAGCCAAAAGAAAAAAAAAGTCACAAAATTCTAGAAAGCTCATTTGCAATGTACTGTTCTACACTAGTATCAAGGTCTCATGAAAGTAAATAAAATACATTTACTCTTCACAACTGAAGCATCCATCCCTAAATTAGTACAATGTGGAATTTTTACCCTTTGACCAATGTTATTAATTCCTCTCATGGATAAATACTCTTTACTCGGAGGGAGGGTGGCTAGGGAAGAGGTGAATTCAGAAAGCACACAGTCCGTGGTAGTGATTATCCTGACTCACCTCCTGGACAGTGCCTCATGGCCATCTTACACCTCCTGGACTCAGCGATGGTCGGACATGGTATTGTGTCTTTCGCTGGCTTTTTCACAATTTGCCGTGTTCTGGTTTCCAGACCCCATTTAAATCCACATGTGCGATTATTTCTGCTACAAGTTCCCCATTCACTCCAATGACCAACTTCACATCCTTCTAAATAAAGATAAAAGTACAAATAAAAATAAAATTTTGGTATCCCTTCGTTCCACTAGCATCAAACTCATATGGAGAGTGTTTCATACTCTCCCCACTTTCGGATGCCAAAAATTAAGTTGCACAGCCCACAGAGACCTACAGTCACCTTTCAGGAACTTTAATTCTTTGAACCATAGGGTCACTTTAATTTGCAACAATTGCCACATAAGTCATTGGAAAACTATTAACTTTGATTTGTCTTAGTTTGGTTTTTTGAAGAGATGCAACTGGGCCATTCAAAAGACACTGAAATATACAGCCTCTAAAAGATTCAATAGCTAAAACCTCTAGTAAAAGATACTATGTTCATACTATGTCAGAACACAAAATTTTATAGGCTAATTCCAAATGCCCCTACTGAAATTTACAAGTATGTTAGTTTTATTTTGAAAGTAAGTACTTGGGGGCAAAGGCTCAGGTGTTTAGTTTGCATTTTCTGATTTTCTCAATTCTTTCAATAGGTGTCTGGAAACCACAGTATGTATTTCTTATTACCTAAATTAGTGCCACACATTATTATACTTTGAAAAGTAAACAAGTATGATCAGATATATGAAAAATTTGTATTTATTTTCATAGATTACATATCTAGCTTTTAGCATCCCTTTTTGTAAATTCAGATAGTGGAAAATTAGACCACCCTCTAGCCTCCTGGGGTGAGGTTGGGGAATAAAAGGAGAAAAGTAAGGCAATTAAACCTCCTCATCAAATTCAGCATTAAAAAGCCCCTTCACACCACCAGATCGAGGCTCAGGCCCAGGGTCCTTAGACATTATTTCTGTGTTCCAGATCTTAGCAGGCATCATGGTTACACTTAGATATTTCAAAGCTAAGATTTGTAGTCAGGTGAAAAAAATTGTATTTGGGGAATGCATAGGACTCAATTTGAATTTGTTTATATTTAAGGGTTTCATAAGAGTTTCCCGTGACTGTTATAAAAAGCAGATTCAACAATCTCAATATGCTCATCTACTGATGTTCTTATTGTTTAAAAGGGTGCTGCCATGAATGTATTCACTCACACTTAAATAGGAACATAATGCTCTGGCTGGTGTGGTTCAGTGGATGTAGTTCTGGGCTGCAAACCAGAGGTTCACAGGGTTGATTCCCAATCAGGGCACATGCCTGGTCTGCCAGCCAGGTCCCCAGTAGGGAGTGTGAGAGGCAACCACACACTGATGTTTCTCTCTCTTTTTCCCTCCCTTCTCATTTATCTAAAAGTAAATTTCAAAAAAAAATCTTTATATAGTAACATTAGTACACATTTCTTCATAAACCTCTTATTTAAAAGTGTTCTCTAGAAGCTTTCACATGTATAATTACAGACTATTTTAGCAATATTTCTGCAGGAAAAAGAGTTCTTAATTTTCTTTTAATTCTCCACATCAAAGAGATGGAAAGTCTCACTTATAATACACAGCTCTGTCGTACATATCATAGCAGGTGTATAATATGTCCAATAAAATGAAGGGGTAGGAGTAGAGGGTTGGTAACAGCAAAGATGCCACTACACTGAATAACAACACCTTCAGCCGTTCCCCAAAATGTGGGTCCTGACAGGTCTCCACCTTGTCATCGGGAGCAGAAAAACCAAAACCAAATAAAGACAGTGAGCAAGTAGTATGACAACCCAAGTGTTTTCAAACACTCAAAAAATATTAAATTAAAAAAATATCTATTTCTCCTGATTATTCACAAATGGTATATATATATGTATATATATACATATAAAATTATACATCCTAGCTGTCTAAACTTAGTAAAATTGCTTTAATGCACTATGCACCATGCAGTTAATCATCAAAATATATTTTACACAAACATTTTCTTTCCAGTGATTTTTTTAAAAAAGGCTAAGAAGAGCCATAATTAATATACATAACAAAGTGATAGAATCATTAATTACATGGTACAGCTTCAAATTTTGTTTTTAAGTAACATTTTTTTCTCTAACAGGTACTAGTAATTTATTAAGATACTTAAGAAATGGATGTACTACACATAAGATAAAAACATTTTGAGACAAGATGTAATACGTGAGACTAGAATTCAGAGAGTCAGTAAAAAACTGAAATTACGTTCAGTTCTAATTGACAAGAGACTAACTTGTTGTTAGGTTGATTATATCCAGCATGTATTTTTCTTTCTCAAGAAACAGGTGTTAAAAGTTGCAGTTTGAAAGTTACACAAAAAACCACTCACCCACACATTCCATGGTGTCATCTAATGGTGCAAAACCGTCTGGACATTCATCAAAGCAACGGCCTCTATGCAAATAAAAACCTGCTTTGCACTTAGTACAAAAGTCTTTGCTGAAGCAAGAATCACAGTTTTCTATTCTGCATCCTAAAAACAATTTCAAAGAGAAAAAAAATTCAGTCAAAGTAATGCACTTGTTTTGCAAATAAAATTTTCACAAACTTATCGGGGTCAGCTCAATCGGAATTCTAGTGGTCAGGGAAATATGACTTCAACCCATTTGTTTCCTAACGCCATCTCACTTTAAATCACTCCCACCTCTTGCAACAACTCACCACATCAATAAACTAAGACACAACTCCAACCCAGGGCCCTAGGCAGCGTGAGACCCTGCAGAAATTTTTGCAACTCCAAATGGGATTAAAAAAGATTTAAAATAAAAAGAAAACACCCTCCTACAAATTACATTGCTGCTGGGATTGAAATCTGTTCTGCTCTTCAAAAGACCTACAATGGAAAATACGAAGGGAATACTCTAATCAGTATCTTCTGTTTCAGGACAGTAAATTAAAATTTTGTTTATGTTGGTCAGTGCTGGCATTTACTTTCATCAAAAGGTTTCTTAACTTGCAGGGGGGAGTTTTGGCCTTTAAAAAAAAACATAACAATGTGCCAAAGGCTTTACATGCATTTCCATTGGGTCTTCATAATAATCCTACAAGATGGGCAGTACTATCCATATTTTGCAAATAAGGAACCTGAGCTGCAGAGAGATTAAAGCATCGAGGGAGCAGTGGCTGAGTTGGTTCTGGAAGTTCCCCAAACCCACTGCCGCCTCAACCTGCTCTCCTTTTTCTATAACCTGCTACTAGGAGAGGTTTGTGAAACAGAAGTGCTTTCAGGCCTGCTACATCTGGCTTTGAACCCCAGATCTGCCCTTACCAGCTTGGTGACTCTGGACAACTACATGCTCTCTGAGTCCCTGTTTCCTTCTGTATAAAACAGAGACATCACTGACTTTACAAGGCTATTGTGAGAGTTTGTAATGATATATGTAAATTGACTGGCTCATCATAGGTAGTCTGCACAATAGTGAATTAGAAACATTTATTTTTCCACTAAACCACACAACAATGTGGAAAAAGCAGTAAAGCTTTATCTTGTACCCTGAGTCAGATTCCCTGATAGGCCTATAACAGGGCTAGAGATAACAGGCTTACAGGAGTCAAAATAAATATAGTCTAAACTACTCTTCAAAGAGAGGTAAGGAGAGAAGGTTAGAAGACTGGCTAACTGAAATGTCAGGTTTTCAACAGACTCGTAGCACATTATTACTTGCAACATTTTTAATTCATGGTAATTAACAGTGTGTAAAGCTCTAGGAAAACTCCATGCCATTACTTTTATTCATTTAACAAGCCCCCAAGTACCAATACTGCATTTGGAGCTTTAATGATTCAGAAAAGCTTTAAAATATATAGTTCCTGCAAGCAGAGCAATACTGGAATAAAAAATAGTGATCAAAATGTGAAATCACTGAATATTAAAGGTTTGAAAATAGAGAAATAAAGCCAGAAAGTAGAATTAAAGGCTAAAAAACATACATACTTCATTAAAATTAACATTATAAATGACAGTTTCTAGACATATTAAAAGAAAAATGGCAACTCCTCACCTTTCAGTATTGACTCTAAACAGGTCTTCGGGTAGTAAATGACCACCATGAAGTGGTTAATTCAACTTCTAAACTGTTACCATATTTACAATTGGAAAACCAACTATGTGTTGGGTGAAAGTCTATAGTCAAATTATAGTATTTCTCTCTTTGGGGAGGGTGGTGGGCACAGAACACTTTATCACCCCATAAAAGGTTCATTTGTAGTCTTAAATGCTACAACATATATTTTAACAAAAAGAGTGGTCTATAGCTGGTCAGCAGCTTCTTAATCATGGTCAAATTACATGACCAGCATGTCCACAAATTGTTGGTTTTCTCGTACTTTTTTAAAAAAAGCAGGCAGCCTTTCCTGTTAGCAGAATTATTTCCCAAGAAATAATGATAAACATTCGAAGATAAAACAGAACGAAGGGATGAAAAGAGAATTTATATTTAAAAAAAAGGGGACTATACACTTCATAAATCAATTGTTATCTAGGAAGTCTGATTTTTCTTTAAAATACAACCTGTACCAATAGCTTTTTGGCCCAGGAGCTACAGCAATAAGCATTTGGAATTAATTTTACAAGGTGCTTTGCTGATCTTTATTGTTACCTGTGACTCCCTTTCTGCTTTTTGTTCCATGCGCCTAACACCAGTGCACAGAATGTGGCATTTCTGAAATACCTATCATTCTCTGTCAAGTCCCTGAGGACTTCTTCGGGCATAAATCCTGCTAAGAGAAAGCTGAACTGTTTGTCCTCAAATTTCAGTGAACAAGAATCTGATACATTCAAATTGTAGAATACTGCAGCCATGAAAAGGCATGAGGTGAATTATAAGCAATGACGGAAAACGAGTACACAAACCCACAGTTAAGTGAAACAGGCAAGTTGCAGGGTATCTGGTAGGTGACACAATAAAACCATATGTGCATGTGTATGTGTGCATGAGGCCACTGGGAAAGGGGTGGTAGAATTTTGAAATCTTAAAATTGTTATGTTTCTGAATTATATGAAAATTTTAGCATTATAATGCATTTTAGTATTAAAGTAAAGCAAAAAAAAGTTATTGCAATATACAATTTGTGACCTGCTTGAATGTACAGAAAATAAAACTTCATTAACATTCTAAAATAAGTTCTTTTGGTTTTAAGGCAAGCATGACTAAAGAAATACTATCCCATGCCAGATTGTTCTAGATCTGGGTCCATGAACTCACAGCCCTCATTGAATAATGCTTAGCCCTCCCATTACACAATCATCTGACCGTCTGTTGACAGTATCCTTTGTTTTCATATATTCAATGGCACTTTTCCTTCACTCAAATCATAAGGAAAAACACTAAATTATTTTTCATTCAGTACAGCAGTTAAACAAAAGCTTTGATCGGTGCCAAGTCCTAACATCTCCGCCACCTCCACGGGACCGTCTTACTCTCAAGTCCCGCGTGGCCACACGTAAAACCCACGCCTGCAGCCCAGGCGTTCAGCGGCCTGAACTGACACCACTCAGCTAATCACAGACATCTATGATCTGAAAGCTTCCTAAGCCAGCCACTGCATAAACCACCTACCCTGGAAATCTACCTCGGCACATACTTCGGCACCTGAAAACCTTTCCTCAGCAGCTCCAGGTCCATCCACAAGCCCCTGCCCTCTTCTGCCCTTTCTCCCCAAACCGCCTCTTCTGCTTTGGAGAAAACCGCTATTTTGGAGGGTCTCAGAGTCCCTGCTCCTCCTTCCCCATCTCAGCCCGTAGCTACTCTGCCCAAAACTTCTTAAGCTTGTTATCCTTAAATAATTGGGGTCTACATCAACTCACGAATACAATGAATACTCATTTTAATATAAAACTGTCTCATTATAAATAACAATTCAAAACAATGCAGAAGGCTTTTAAAAAATACAGAAATACCTCCCTTACTTTAGTGGAATATCAGGCCTACTTCTCAGAAATAGCCACTGTATTGCAGTTCAGGTAAATCTCGATGTCAACTTTATCAATAAATGACTTTTAAATACCAATTGGATCACTTAATAGACTGACAAACCTTAGAAAACTTCGTACTATGTAAGAAAACAGGTATATCAAAGTTTACTAAACATAGATCTTTTCTATAAAAATCTGAGCTCTAAGTCCTTGCTCAGAAATATAATACCCTGGTTTAGCCAACTTACATGCTTCTAAATTACATGCCTCCTCAAATATGCAATCCACGAAATGAGGACTGCCAATATTGGTTTAAGTAAAATTACTGTCCAAGTGAAATTGCCTCCAAATACATTCTGATGGGACTGTCATTTGGCAAGAGGGGCTCACTCTGGCCAAGAGGAAAAAAAGAAAATAGGCGGGGTGCCCCGTCCCCTGTCCTCCCACAGTACCCATGCAGGCTCCATCCCAACATCGTCAAGTTACACTGCCGTGCAGTTCAACAGTTCATTCCAAACATTCTCCAAACATGTAGCACCGTGCCAGACCCTGAGCCCGTAACATTAGACTATGCATGCCCTCCCCTGGAGGTGCGAACGCCCAAGAGAGGGAGCCACGTGCCCTTACAGGGAGTCGCGATGTCCAGCGAGAGTTACGCACGGCGTACATCATGGGCGGGGAACACGGGTTCATTTGTACCCTGCCGTTGCAGTTTTCTTGATTTTGTTTTCAATCTGTAAATTCCTTGCTTCTAACACAGAGCTGGACACATGGTGGAGTTATGCTTGCCAAGAGAACTTACGTGAGTGCTACTTAAAACTTCAGCTCCTTTGTATTTAAAAACTCATTGGAATGCTTTATTTGAGATTGCTTACGTGTGCACTGTAAATATCTGTACTATAAAAAGTTGGTCGGTCATTTGCCGTAAATCTTATTGGAGAACCAAACAGCTAAACACCTATTTAGAAATAGAAAACACCTAAATAGAAAACAATTATAATAGGGAATAGAAATATTGAAATGTGGCAGGAAATATGTGCTGTGGAAGGTGTAACTTTAGCTGAGCAGACTGTAGAAGCACAGAGGAAGCATAGGGTTCTGGCCATAACAACCCCACTCATGATAAGGCAATGAGGAAAATTCACGTGGTGTGTGATGGGCCCCAGGGAGAATGGATGGAATGAACTGGACAGTAGGTGGAGGGGCTGGTTCCTCAGGCACTTCCCATGTTACTTAGTTTCAAAAAGAGAGGTAAAATTATAAAGTATTTGCATTTGGGGTGGTTTTAAGTATTTCAGTAACAATTAAGATTAGTTAAAAGGAACTCGGGCTCAAGATCAGGGCTTGCTCTGACTATAGTAAGAATCTTGAGCCAGAGAGCAACACGACAAGATGGTAGCTGTTTTGTTCCCTTGTTTCGACAGGTAAAAGTCATTGGGATCCGGGCACCAGGATGGGTAACTAAAGGCTGAGATGAAGAAGCACTTCAGGGTCGTCAGTACTAAAGAACAGGTACCTCGCAGGCAATGAGATGGAAAGGCAGCACTGTGCACTGTACA